GGCACTGCTGGAGAGGAACAGCCCTGCTTGTTTCTTGGTTTTTCCTGGTATTAGCAGTGTTCACAGTTTTACAGTTTTTGTGTGCCTGCTTCTTATTTGCAGAATGTCTCATATTGTCACTAACTGTTTGAACTGGCTTGGTGACAATATTCTCATGGCTCTGCCCACCACAAGTCCTCTTCCTACTCTCTGCTTTAGAGGAACTTGTTGCTGATAATGACAACTGTCTTGGTCGAGGTCTTGGTGTCTTTGGATGATCATTTTCTACGAGTTTACTGCTTAGCTAAAGCCTGCAAATAATTATATTGCACTGACCTTTTTGATCTTTCCTAGGACTCAGCAATGCTTTCAGTAACGATGCACATTTGTCCATGCCTTGATGAGTCGATATCATCTTTTAAAATATCCTGCTGTTAGTTTTAGATTAAATTGGACAGTATTTACTAATCTTTCTGTGTCTTTGCTATTTGAATACAAGGAAAACCCCGCCATTTAAATAGGCGTGGTCACAAAAATTTTAATATTCAAAAAATTATTAAAATAAAATAGATCTTAAAATTCAAAAAGTAATGCACTATCTAATGCTTTAGCCCATTCTTTTTGTATCATATAAGCAGCCTGATTTACTGGTCCTCCAACATTTGATAAAGCTTTTAAAAACCTAATGCAATGTTCTTCTAGCTCAGAATGATTGTGGTATAAACTCAATCCAGATGTAAAACTTCCAACCATAGAATCATAAGTTGATGTTTTTTGTACTTCACGAGTTATTATACCAACCTGAAGGAGCTCATTAGCTATAGAAACAAGAGAATACTGAAATATCTCTGACAAAACAACATGATGATTAATCAAAACTTTCTTTAGCTTTTTACAAACATCTTTTACGTCAATACCTACACCCACTATAACATACAAGAACCATAAAAAGCTATAGTCAGATTATAGTGTTACCTCCTCCTCCTTCATTTCTTGGACTAGCTTCAGTAGCAGCAGTAGCTGTGGAAACTACATAACAACATTATTATCGCAATTTATTTACAAGACAGTATAATAAAATTACCTGATGATGAAATGGAAGCATTAACTGATGATGAAGGATTCTTTGATGATCTATGAATATATAATGTAACAGGATCAGTCACACCTTCCAGTGGTATAGCATAATGGAGTGTAGGAACAGCATTTGTTGATTTATAAGCTGATATCAAGCAATATGGAGGAATAGGATATCCTAATTCACCGAAATTGTTAACATCAAAACGATTCAACTAGATGCATAATAATAATAAAATATTGATAACAATAGTATTTACTTTGGTAGGTTTAATATGAGGCTGAATATTCCATCCAGTAATTGGTTTTTCTTGTGGAACATCAAACTTTAATTCAATATATCCATCGTTATCTTTGAAACAAAAAGAAAAATTCTGCCTCATTTGAGCATGTGAGTGTTCTTTCTTAATAAACTACGATAGTAGATCTATAATTGAAATTAATATACGACAAATTATACTACCTCATATAGAGCATTTAACTTCCTAGCAGCAGTGAATATAAATAATAAGTCTTCTTCTCCATCTTCTTCAAAATAGAGTATTCCATAATATGTCATGAACTTTTTTATACCAATGGAAAACACTACACCATAAAATAAAAGAAAGAATTAAATGATAGACTGATTTGGCCTAATATCTTAGTACTTGCCACACAGGGCATGCCCAGTGTGGGTCTAACAAGCAAGAGTGGGGTTTCATAAAGTCAGATGCAGTGAAAGCTCTTATATTACCTGGCTCATTATCATCCTGCTCTTCTTTTCCTAATTCCTCTATTTTCTCCTCCTCCATCTTTTCCCCTTCTCCAGTACACTCTATATACAAATAATTATGACAAATAACTGGAAAAATGACTTAATTGCTGACCTTGTGGTTTGTTGATAGCTCCTGTTGAACCACTTAATTCTTTGGATGAATCCAATGAATCACTAGAACTCGAAGTATCATGTTCCTCATCTTCTGAATCAGAATGTCCATTCACTCCATTAGTTAATTCTTCTCCCAGTACACAAACCAAACAGAAATCTTTACGTTGAATGGATCCATACCCGCTATTAGACTTAAATTCTCCTCCTTCAATTATTGAGAACTGGTAAGGAAGACTGGGTGTGCTGCTTAAAGTGTAACTGCAGTGATTTTTTAGGGTATTTATTTTATGGTCTTAATATGACTGCCTGACCATAATAATGATGTGTTCCAACTTCTATTGTCTAAAAAATTTATTCACTGAGATATGAGC